CTGTTTATACATGGTTTAGCTTTTAAGTATCTGCATTTGTGAATAAAAATTTTTCCCATTAACAAAAACGTCCTAATCAACAGGTCAAAATCTGCATTCTCAGCAAATATTCCAAATTTTATTACTGTCACCGTCAAATGCGGTAACTGAATTCTCCTGGACTGTAGCCAGCTCCACATGTCAGTCCAGAAGGAGTGCACTGATTCACAGTAGAAAAACAAGTGATCCAGACTTTCAATATCATTTTCACAAAATATGCATGCGTTCACATCTACGTTAAATTTCCGTCTTAAGAATTCATTGGTTGGATAAATCTCATTTATGATTTTAAAGTGAACCTCTTTTACTTTAGGAGAAAGAGGAAGTGAAATATACTTTTTTCTTATCGCCTTAACCTCCATGGTCTCAAATTCTTTAAGGATATAATTTCTTTTAACCGGATTAGGGCAAATTTCATTTATCAAAATATTCCTGATCACTTTGTTTGTAAACCTGCTGTCACCAAATTCAACTCCAGCTATGCAGAGCTGTCTCAGTCCAGGAGAAATTTTAGAGTGCACAATATCTTCTTTTATCATTGATCTCAAAGGGACTGGGATGGCTTTCACTAGGGATTTATATCTCTTAGCAATACATCTTACATCAAATTTCTCACAAAACGTCTCATGTATTAATAAGACCCCATTATCATCCATAAAATGAGCTACAGCCCAAATCCCTTTAGATCTCCATTCATCCATGTACACAGATTTCCTACACAAACGGATATACCTGTTGTTCCATATAGGGGTATTGTGAGGAATAAAGTTATGTTTATAGATTAATTTCCAGTAGAGAAGGACCTGCTGATGGAAACCTGAGAGTTTAACATGTAACGAACTGCAAAGTCACAACGTAACAAAAAGTCTATTCCACCCAAGATTATATATAGATTTAATTAGTTTTGGAGATATGGGCAGAGAAAAGGCTGGATAGATTAGTCTGGACAGACTGTCCATTTTGGTTAGCAAGATTCTCCCAAACAGAGTTATGTCCATTTGCAGCCACCTGTTTAAAATAGACTTACACTTTTCTATATTGGCACAGATATTCTTATTTTCTGTTGATGTCTTATCCTTGCAAATTACAATGCCCAGATACTTCACCTCTTTTTTGATCTGTATATTATTTATTGCTTGCAGGGGACACTCGTGCAGAGCTAGAATTTCGCATTTATTAATATTCAGCTGTAGGCCAGAAGCTTTGGAGAAGTGGTTGATCACCTCTAAGGCTAAAGGAATCTGGTCCTCATTTTTTAAAAACAGGGTGGTATCATCTGCCAGCTGACTGATTATTATCTGTTCACCCATCACAGTTAACCCGTCAATGTGACTGTTTTTAATCAAAATAGACAACAGCTCAGCAACCATGAGGAACAGAAGTGGTGAGCTGCTACATCCCTGCCTTATCCCTCTATTAACCTCAAACCTTGAACATGTACCATGTTATAGCAAAACAGAGCTGTTAATGTCATTATATAGCATCTCTATAACATTGATAAATTCCTCTCCAAAACCAAAAGACTGCAGAGTTTTAAATATGAACGTATGTTCAACTGAGTCAAATGCTTTGTAAAAATCCAAGAACAAGATGTATCCTCTCTCTTGGATTATTTCACTGTACTCAAGGAGGTCCAAAACCAGCCTAATATTGTTATGCATTAGTCTTCCTTTCAAAAAACCTGATTGTGTTTCACTGATAATGTTTGAGATGCCTTTCTTTAGCCTCTCAGCTACAGCTCCAGACAGGATCTTATAGTCAGTGTTTAGTAAGGTGATGGGTCTTAAATTGTCTAAAATTCTTTTATCCTTACCCGATTTAGGGATCAGGGTTATCAACCCTTGTTTCATGCTTGGCATCAGATCTTTTTTCTCTATCCATTCCTTTAATGCATCAAACAATAAAGTTCTTAGGTCCTTCCAGAAGAATTTATAAAAATTAGTAGTGAGTCAGAACAATAATAACAAATATAAAACATCAAACAGAGAATGTGCAGCGGTACTGCAAAGAAAAGAGAGGGGTGCGAGACATTGAATAATCAAACAAAGACATTAAACATATTACAAATAGATGGTTTTTAAAGGTTTTTTGGTGTGAGAAGAAAGGATTGTATTCACATAGAGTTCAACTTCTTTCCTGAAGGTGAAAAAGTTTGGCTTCTTACTTGAGAACTTAAAAGCATTCGAGTCTTTCCTACTAGAGTCAGTATAGCCAAATAGCACATTTAGGTAAAAAAGCACAAAATCCGATAAGACATCGCATAGAAGCAGAACTGAGTCGTATGTGACAGACAGTGAGGTGGAATTATTCCTCAATATCACACTGGAATATGAAACAGCAAAAAAAACAAAACAAGAAAACGTGGACTGGGAGACTTGTCAGGGGAAATAAGGTTAGCCTACCATACATGTATAAACGAATGCCCTACTGTATTTCAGTAGCCCAATTATAGATGCCTTTAGCACCTTTAGGTTTGACCTAGTAATGATACAGCTCGGCTTCATTTCTTTAACTACTGTGTAGCTTAACCTACACGAAGTCATCATAATGACAGATTTATATTCATCTGAATCTGCAGTGTAACTGTGTTGGTGTTGAATCCCTACCTCAAGAATGTTGTAGAGTTAAAAGTATAGGAAAAGAGAACACTTAACCTAAAATATTTAAGTGTAGCACTTAAGTAAATATTAATCTTGGTATTCCACCACTGATTTATTTTTAACATTTATTGTGGTTAATTAGTTTTTCATTGTTTTATTCTACCTTTTATCAAGGCAAAACTCAAGGGCCACAGACAGGACAGACTTGAAAGAAGACTTTCAACTGAAACACATTTGCGTAATGTTGCAGAGGTGGACATACAGATGAAGAAAAGAATTCTGGATATGATGGAGACATCTGAGAGGCGAGCTTCTGAACATCACAGTAAATTATAAGTCACTCTTGAGAGACAAGTTCAGTTGCAGATGGATTTTTACTGCTAAGACAAGTCATGCATCCACCACCACAACCTTTCAACCTGCCACCACACCATGGTGGGCACATCTATGCATGTGCACCACCACCACACGCTGTACCTGGCTCATTTCCACCCAACAGTACCATAACTGAGCTGCCAAGCAGCACACCCTACCCACCCCTACCTTTGCAGGGAGCAGGGCAATTTTTCTTCACACAAGCACTTTTGGAGGATGATATTTGAAATAATCTGCATCGTTACCTATGCTGGGAAATTAATAACTTATGTTGGGAACTTTTGGGGCTGCATCTGTATGCTCAACTGTTGACATGTTAAATGTTTTCTATTAGCTATTATGCAGCTCAAATCCTTTGTTCAAAACAGCACTTTGACTTTGACTTAAGTGTAAGAGGTCTTCCTCCAAATAATCAGACCCAACCAATATAACCTCTTCAATAAAATTATCTTATCTTACATAAATAGGCTGTTGATTTTCTTTACTCATTTCAGTTATTACCAACAAAATAGTTGCATGTTTAATCATCTGGGAATTTACCCAGATTTATTTATTTAGACAGAGATCTTAACCCCCCCCCCCCCAATGTTCAGCACAAAGTTACACCGATGCATGTTCAGGATCACAGTGCATAGATTGTGAAGTGTCACATATCCTGACTTACAATTTCTGTAGATATAACCGTTTATATCCCTCTCCAGGCAGGCGTTGCCGATTTGCAACAGTTAAAAAACGAACACCCTGATTACCCCACATACATATTTTATTAGTTTTTTTTACTCAGAAGTACCACTGCTGGACTTGGTTGTGCATTACCAACGAAAAGTTTAATTTGAGCCTGAGAGGGATATCAGTGATGTCATGCAATCTAGTCTGTGTGTCTGTCCTTTTCCTGCTGAATTACTTCAGTGACTGTAATCTATCATGTCCCCGCGGGGTCCTTCGCATATAGGTGTAACATAGAATCAGCCAATCAAATCGCAGCTTTTCAGCCAGTGTAAAAAATTATATATATTTTTTGCACTGAATCATCTGAGCGCAGGTGCCCAACCTGGCAAAGATGCCCAACGGATTTACTTTACCAAATGGGTCATCGCGGCCTTACCGTATTGGTCCATTTGATTGACCTTGGTCTTTATTGTTTATTTTATTTTCACTTGCTACACACGGGACAAACATGATAAATCAACAACTGACAATGACTAATTAATATTAAAATCTGTAACATAATGTTTGGAGTTTAGTCTGTTACTGTTGCTATTTTTACCATTTCTTCTTGGAGCAACTGTAACCCACATTATTTCCTTAGGGATTAATAAAGTATTCTGATTCTGATTGTTTCAGGATGACCTGCCATCATCCAATCACACATCTGCTTACCTGCATCTGTTGCTCGCTTCTCACTTTTCGCGTATAGAATTTCGAAAAAAACATCGGTGCAAATTATAAGTCTGTATCATGATGTCTGGTGTTTTCGTGTTTGTTGTTTTGTTTTTATTTTCTTTTATTTTGCGAGTTGGTTATTAGACGCTGCCCCAGCCGGTCAGAGACTCCCCCGCCGCCCCGCCCTCTCCTCCCTGAGCCGCAAGCAGCAGGCGCACCTCGCAAACGGAGGGCGCCCTTACTCCCAGCAAATGGGCGATAGAAAACCGATCGGTGCCTGTGACATCCCCGTTATGCGCTGGCATGACGTCGGGGCAGCATGAGTGCGAGCATTTTTTTTTGCCGGTGCCGGTGATGCCGCCCCTCACCACGATGCCGCCCCGGGCAACTGCCCGTATCAAAAACAGCTTCTGGTGGCCGGTATTGACAACTAACTCTTATGACTGTCTTGCTTCTCCGTTGCGTGTTTGGCATTTTTTAACCTTTATTTTTAAAAAATAAAATTTTCTCCATAAAATACATTTCAAGAAAGATTTCACTGCTATTATAATTAGGCCTTTAGATTGGCACCAAGGTTGATTTTGATTCATCATTATTTTTTTTGCAGGGGCACAGTAAATGTAATAATCATAACCTATAATGGTATATGATGTTTTTCACTTTTTCCACACTAAATGTTTATTACCTTGCTAACGTAAATAAAATTACAAGCTCAGTTTGAACTAGAAAAACATTTATTTTAGAAAGATAAACATGAACATTTATGTTGTTGGGGATGGGGAGAGAGACAGACAGGGAGAGAGGTAGTATGTGTCTGGGTGTGAGAGTCCTGCTCAGACGGCACAGTCATTACAAATGGACAGACTGTGGTCCTTGCATGTATGCTTCTCACATTTGCAGCAGGTGTTGAAAACTCTTCTTTTGTCTTTGCAAAATTCGCACTGCCTCCTGCCCTTAAATTGAATGATGGGAGCGGTCCATGAAGCCGCTGCAGTCAGATTTGTGACTACTGCTGCAGCGGCTGATGAGCGAGGAAGGCGCCCTCTCTTTGCTATGTGTGGGTTCACCAGCATTTCTCCCACTTCTTCAATGAAGACCCTCCGTCTGTGTCCTTTCTGCTTCTGCCAGGATGACTCGATTAATGTCCACAGGACGTAGGCATTGTAAAGTGAAACATCAAGGACGTTGTGGAAGAGGGCCATTGGCCAATAATTTGTTCTCCTCCTGCAGGAGTAGGTGCCAACAACCTAACAAAAAAAAGAAGCATAAAACATACATATATATTAGACATGAATATGAGCAAGAATGAATAAATATATGCATAACTGGTTCGTAATGACACCTACCATATCAAGGTTGTCGACACCTCCTTTGCATTTGTTGTAATCTTCGATTATTACAGGCTTTCTCTTCCCTTCTTTGCTCACGTCTGGGCAGCGGTGTTTTGTGCTTAGTAGCAGCACATTCTTGCCCCGTCGGGGGATGTAAGACACAAGTGTGTGGGTGTTTGTAAACGCGAAGATGGAGGAGAAGATCTCTCTCTTTTTTGCCTGGAGCAAATGAGGTGGAAGCTCAGGCTTGTTTTGGCGAATTGTGCCAACCAGGGCCATTTTCCTCTTGAGTAGCTCATCTGCCAGTGCACAGGAAGTGAAAAAATTATCACAGGTGACGACGTGTCCCTGGAGCCCCTCTGTCATGTCCAGGACCACCCTCATCCCCTGGTTGACTTCAACACGATCTGGAGCTGCTTTGCCCGTGTACACCTGCAGTCTCCATGCGTAGGATGTTTTGACATCACAGGCTGCCCAAATCTTGATACCATATTTGGCCGGCTTCTTTGGCATGTACTGCCTGAAGCTACACCTGCCTTTGAACGCGACGAGTTGTTCATCCACACAGAGATCTCTGTCTGGGCTGAACAGCATCTCCAGGCGGTGCGTCCACATATTCCAGACTTTGCGGAAGGGAGCCATCTTGTCAACATGGCGTTGGGGGCGGGATAGCTTATCATCGAACCGCAGTGCTCTGCTGATGTGGTGAAACCTGTTCTCGGACATCGTAGCCCGGAAAATGCTCCGTCCCCATTTTTCACTCCAGAGGCTCTTCGTTGATTCGTGTTTTGACCTGTAAACACCGGACAAAACGAGCAGCCCCACATAAGCCCGAAACTCCTCTGCGTCTATATCTCGCCAGCCGGGAATTTTGCGATTCCCATGCAGGTTTGTCATGGACACAATATGCTTCACGATCTCATCCGTTAGAAACAGCGCGAAGCTGGATATGGGGTCAACGATTCGGAGAGTGGCATAGCGTGTAGGTCCCGGGGTCAGACCAGTGGCTGCTGGGATGTAGCGGAACGTCTCAGCGTTTGTGGGAGACCAAGATATTTTTCCATTTTTTGACGTCCATGCTGCTTCATCAATTTTCTCTCCGTTTTCATCTCCAGCCGCTGCTGCTTCATCAATTTTCTCTTCGCTTTCATCTTCATCCGAGTCGGAACTGGACCCCAGCTGCTCTGTTTCTGCCTCCGATACCTCCTCCTCTTCCTCCTCGTCCCCAGATTCCACGGGGATAACGCGGAGCTATCCTCGTACTCAGAGTTCATGATGACTGGATATCACGGATATTTAAATAGATTTCCTTATGCGGCCAGGAGATCGTTTCTCTTGCCTTCCCTTTTGCCAGCACGTGCAGGACTAAACCGATTCAAAACTCTATCCGGTTAGTCGTGACGCATGGACCCTGCTTCCGGTCAGTCCAGCTAACGTAAAGCTACAAACATCTCTACTGTTTAGGCTACGTCCACACGTACACGGGTATTTTTGAAAACAGAGATTTTCCGTTTCCGTTTTAAAAAAATCCCGTCCACACGTGAAGTTTTGAGAAAAATATCTCAGTCCACGCGTAACCCCCCCTCCAACAAAACAAAAACAAAGGCAAACGCTGTAATGAGCACGCCAAAGCAACAGGTGGCGATATAATCCTAACCTTGCAGAAATGTTGGCCAATCGGAAGTCTTGAAGCCAGGGCGGGAAAGCATCAACAAAGACGGTGGAACTTTTTTTTACTTCCAACTTTATTTCTTAAGAACAATAACAACAAATATAAAAAGTTTGGCTTCTTACTTGAGAACTTAAAAGCATTCGAGTCTTTCCTACTAGAGTCAGTATAGCCAAATAGCACATTTAGGTAAAAAAGCACAAAATCCGATAAGACATCGCATAGAAGCAGAACTGAGTCGTACATGTGACAGACAGTGAGGTGGAATTATTCCTCAATATCACACTGGAATATGAAACAGCAAAACAAAACAAAACAAGAAAACGTGGACTGGGAGACTTGTCAGGGGAAATAAGGTTAGCCTACCATACATGTATAAACTAATGCCCTACTGTATTTCAGTAGCCCAATTATAGATGCCTTTAGCACCTTTAGGTTTGACCTAGTAATGATACAGCTCGGCTTCATTTCTTTAACTACTGTGTAGCTTAACCTACACGAAGTCATCATAATGACAGATTTATATTCCTCTGAATCTGCAGTGTAACTGTGTTGGTGTTGAATCCTGTGATATTATTCTGTTATTATATGTTACCTTATATATGTAATCAAAGTAGTTGAATTAGAATACTGCTGTAGATCATATTATACCCTTTAAAATAGAGTGTGTGATCTGTATGTAGTTTAGTTCTCATTATACTTTTGAGTTAACAGAACACATTCACATATTAGTTCATTAGATAAATGTGCATCACTCTGTATCCTTGATCTGCTGGGAATGTGTTACACTGTTTTCTTGACATGCTTAATTGTTGAATCATGAAGAGAAGATTGTAAGCAGGAGACTCTGTGTCTAAAGACAGGGGAGATAGACAGACCACATTCCACACCCCCACCTTACAGAAAGCAGAGAAACAACTGCCGAGGTCATAACTTAGGCGCTGTAACAGAGAAAAAATGTGATGTTTTGGCTTTTACGACTAGCTGGGGGCCACTAGAGACTATAAAAAGCTGAGCAACCCGTCACCATTTTGAGACATGTGCCTGACCCTCTGGTAGCATCTCTCCCGTCCGGACGTTGTAATGCTCTTATTGTTGAATTGTATGGAAATAAATGATTGTTGATTGAGCATTGATACACCGAGTATTGTCCTTCCTTCAGCCCAAAGATTCAAAGAACTGCGTATTTTCAACAATCCCTACCTCAAGAATGTTGTAGAGTTAAAAGTATAGGAAAAGAGAACACTTAACCTAAAATATTTAAGTGTAGCACTTAAGTAAATATTAATCTTGGTATTCCACCACTGATTTATTTTTAACATTTATTGTGGTTAATTAGTTTTTCATTGTTTTATTCTACCTTTTATCAAGGCAAAACTCAAGGGCCACAGACAGGACAGACTTGAAAGAAGACTTTCAACTGAAACACATTTGCGTAATGTTGCAGAGGTGGACATACAGATGAAGAAAAGAATTCTGGATATGATGGAGACATCTGAGAGGCGAGCTTCTGAACATCACAGTAAATTATAAGTCACTCTTGAGAGACAAGTTCAGTTGCAGATGGATTTTTACTGCTAAGACAAGTCATGCATCCACCACCACAACCTTTCAACCTGCCACCACACCATGGTGGGCACATCTATGCATGTGCACCACCACCACACGCTGTACCTGGCTCATTTCCACCCAACAGTACCATAACTGAGCTGCCAAGCAGCACACCCTACCCACCCCTACCTTTGCAGGGAGCAGGGCAATTTTTCTTCACACAAGCACTTTTGGAGGATGATATTTGAAATAATCTGCATCGTTACCTATGCTGGGAAATTAATAACTTATGTTGGGAGCTTTTGGGGCTGCATCTGTATGCTCAACTGTTGGCATGTTAAATGTTTTCTATTAGCTATTATGCAGCTCAAATCCTTTGTTCAAAACAGCACTTTGACTTTGACTTAAGTGTAAGAGGTCTTCCTTGTAATTTACAGCCCCCCCCCCCCCCCCTCCAAATAATCAGACCCAACCAATATAACCTCTTCAATAAAATTATCTTATCTTACATAAATAGGCTGTTGATTTTCTTTACTCATTTCAGTTATTACCAACAAAATAGTTGCATGTTTAATCATCTGGGAATTTACCCAGATTTATTTATTTAGACAGAGATCTTAACCCCCCCCAATGTTCAGCACAAAGTTACACCGATGCATGTTCAGGATCACAGTGCATAGATTGTGAAGTGTCACATATCCTGACTTACAATTTCTGTAGATATAACCGTTTATATCCCTCTCCAGGCAGGCGTTGCCGATTTGCAACAGTTAAAAAACGAACACCCTGATTACCCCACATACATATTTTATTAGTTTTTTTTACTCAGAAGTACCACTGCTGGACTTGGTTGTGCATTACCAACGAAAAGTTTAATTTGAGCCTGAGAGGGATATCAGTGATGTCATGCAATCTAGTCTGTGTGTCTGTCCTTTTCCTGCTGAATTACTTCAGTGACTGTAATCTATCATGTCCCCGCGGGGTCCTTCGCATATAGGTGTAACATAGAATCAGCCAATCAAATCGCAGCTTTTCAGCCAGTGTAAAAAATTATATATATTTTTTGCACTGAATCATCTGAGCGCAGGTGCCCAACCTGGCAAAGATGCCCAACGGATTTACTTTACCAAATGGGTCATCGCGGCCTTACCGTATTGGTCCATTTGATTGACCTTGGTCTTTATTGTTTATTTTATTTTCACTTGCTACACACGGGACAAACATGATAAATCAACAACTGACAATGACTAATTAATATTAAAATCTGTAACATAATGTTTGGAGTTTAGTCTGTTACTGTTGCTATTTTTACCATTTCTTCTTGGAGCAACTGTAACCCACATTATTTCCTTAGGGATTAATAAAGTATTCTGATTCTGATTGTTTCAGGATGACCTGCCATCATCCAATCACACATCTGCTTACCTGCATCTGTTGCTCGCTTCTCACTTTTCGCGTATAGAATTTCGAAAAAAACATCGGTGCAAATTATAAGTCTGTATCATGATGTCTGGTGTTTTCGTGTTTGTTGTTTTGTTTTTATTTTCTTTTATTTTGCGAGTTGGTTATTAGACGCTGCCCCAGCCGGTCAGAGACTCCCCCGCCGCCCCGCCCTCTCCTCCCTGAGCCGCAAGCAGCAGGCGCACCTCGCAAACGGAGGGCGCCCTTACTCCCAGCAAATGGGTGATAGAAAACCGATCGGTGCCTGTGACATCCCCGCTATGCGCTGGCATGACGTTGGGGCAGCATGAGTGCGAGCATTTTTTTTTGCCGGTGCCGGTGATGCCGCCCCTCACCACGATGCCGCCCCGGGCAACTGCCCGTATCAAAAACAGCTTCTGGTGGCCGGTATTGACAACTAACTCTTATGACTGTCTTGCTTCTCCGTTGCGTGTTTGGCATTTTTTAACCTTTATTTTTAAAAAATAAAATTTTTTCCATAAAATACATTTCGAGAAAGATTTCACTGCTATTATAATTAGGCCTTTAGATTGGCACCAAGGTTGATTTTGATTCATCATTATTTTTTTTGCAGGGGCACAGTAAATGTAATAATCATAACCTATAATGGTATATGATGTTTTTCACTTTTTCCACACTAAATGTTTATTACCTTGCTAACGTAAATAAAATTACAAGCTCAGTTTGAACTAGAAAAACATTTATTTTAGAAAGATAAACATGAACATTTATGTTGTTGGGGATGGGGAGAGAGACAGACAGGGAGAGAGGTAGTATGTGTCTGGGTGTGAGAGTCCTGCTCAGATGGCGCAGTTGTTACAAATGGACACACTGTGGTCCTTGCATGTATACTTCTCACATTTGCAGCAGGTGTTGAAGACTCTTCTTTTGTCTTTGCAAAATTCGCACTGCCTCCTGCCCTTAAATTGAATGATGGGAGCGGTCCATGAAGCCGCTGCAGTCAGATTTGTGACTACTGCTGCAGCGGCTGATGAGCGAGGAAGGCGCTCTCTCTTTGCTATGTGTGGGTTCACCAGCATTTCTCCCACTTCTTCAATGAAGACCCTCCGTCTGTGTCCTTTCTGCTTCTGCCAGGATGACTCGATTAATGTCCACAGGACGTAGGCATTGTAAAGTGAAACATCAAGGACGTTGTGGAAGAGGGCCAGTGGCCAGTAATTTGTTCTCCTCCTGCAGGAGTAGGTGCCAACAACCTAACAAAAAAAGAAGCATAAAACATACATATATATTAGACATGAATATGAGCAAGAATGAATAAATATATGCATAACTGGTTCGTAATGACACCTACCATATCAAGGTTGTCGACACCTCCTTTGCATTTGTTGTAATCTTCGATTATTACAGGCTTTCTCTTCCCTTCTTTGCTCACGTCTGGGCGGCGGTGTTTTGTGCTTAGTAGCAGCACATTCTTGCCCCGTCGGGGGATGTAAGACACAAGTGTGTGGGTGTTTGTAAAAGCGAAGATGGAGGAGAAGATCTCTCTCTCTTTTGCCTGGAGCAAATGAGGTGGAAGCTCAGGCTTGTTTTGGCGAATTGTGCCAACCAGGGCCATTTTCCTCTTGAGTAGCTCATCTGCCAGTGCACAGGAAGTGAAAAAATTATCACAGGTGACGACGTGTCCCTGGAGCCCCTCTGTCAAGTCCAGGACCACCCTCATCCCCTGGTTGACTTCAACACGATCTGGAGCTGCTTTGCCCGTGTACACCTGCAGTCTCCATGCGTAGGATGTTTTGACATCACAGGCTGCCCAAATCTTGATACCATATTTGGCCGGCTTCTTTGGCATGTACTGCCTGAAGCTACACCTGCCTTTGAACGCGACGAGTTGTTCATCCACACAGAGATCTCTGTCTGGGCTGAACAGCATCTCCAGGCGGTGCGTCCACATATTCCAGACTTTGCGGAAGGGAGTCATCTTGTCAACATGGCGTTGGGGGCGGGATAGCTTATCATCGAACCGCAGTGCTCTGCTGATGTGGTGAAACCTCTTCTCGGACATCGTAGCCCGGAAAATGCTCCGTCCCCATTTTTCACTCCAGAGGTTCTTCGTTGATTCGTGTTTTGACCTGTAAACACCGGACAAAACGAGCAGCCCCACATAAGCCCGAAACTCCTCTGTGTCTATATCTCGCCAGCCGGGAATTTTGCGATTCCCATGCAGGTTTGTCATGGACACAATATGCTTCACGATCTCATCCGTTAGAAACAGCGCGAAGCTGGATATGGGGTCAACGATTCGGAGAGTGGCATAGCGTGTAGGTCCCGGGGTCAGACCAGTGGCTGCTGGGATGTAGCGGAACGTCTCAGCGTTTGTGGGAGACCAAGATATTTTTCCATTTTTTGACGTCCATGCTGCTTCATCAATTTTCTCTCCGTTTTCATCTCCGGCCGCTGCTGCTTCATCAATTTTCTCTTCGCTTTCATCTTCATCCGAGTCGGAACTGGACCCCAGCTGCTCTGTTTCTGCCTCCGATACCTCTTCCTCCTCGTCCCCAGATTCCACGGGGGATAACGCGGAGCTATCCTCGTACTCAGAGTTCATGATGACTGGATATCACGGATATTTAAATAGATTTCCTTATGCGGCCAGGAGATCGTTTCTCTTGCCTTCCCTTTTGCCAGCACGTGCAGGACTAAACCGATTCAAAACTCTATCCGGTTAGTCGTGACGCATGGACCCTGCTTCCGGTCAGTCCAGCTAACGTAAAGCTACAAACATCTCTACTGTTTAGGCTACGTCCACACGTACACGGGTATTTTTGAAAACAGAGATTTTCCGTTTCCGTTTTAAAAAAATCCCGTCCACACGTGAAGTTTTGAGAAAAATATCTCAGTCCACGCGTAACCCCCCCTCCAACAAAACAAAAACAAAGGCAAACGCTGTAATGAGCACGCCAAAGCAACAGGTGGCGATATAATCCTAACCTTGCAGAAATGTTGGCCAATCGGAAGTCTTGAAGCCAGGGCGGGAAAGCATAAACAAAGACGGTGGAACTTTTTTTTACTTCCAACTTTATTTCTTAAGAACAATAACAACAAATATAAAAAGTTTGGCTTCTTACTTGAGAACTTAAAAGCATTCGAGTCTTTCCTACTAGAGTCAGTATAGCCAAATAGCACATTTAGGTAAAAAAGCACAAAATCCGATAAGACATCGCATAGAAGCAGAACTGAGTCGTACATGTGACAGACAGTGAGGTGGAATTATTCCTCAATATCACACTGGAATATGAAACAGCAAAACAAAACAAAACAAGAAAACGTGGACTGGGAGACTTGTCAGGGGAAATAAGGTTAGCCTACCATACATGTATAAACGAATGCCCTACTGTATTTCAGTAGCCCAATTATAGATGCCTTTAGCACCTTTAGGTTTGACCTAGTAATGATACAGCTCGGCTTCATTTCTTTAACTACTGTGTAGCTTAACCTACACGAAGTCATCATAATGACAGATTTATATTCCTCTGAATCTGCAGTGTAACTGTGTTGGTGTTGAATCCCTACCTCAAGAATGTTGTAGAGTTAAAAGTATAGGAAAAGAGAACACTTAACCTAAAATATTTAAGTGTAGCACTTAAGTAAATATTAATCTTGGTATTCCACCACTGATTTATTTTTAACATTTATTGTGGTTAATTAGTTTTTCATTGTTTTATTCTACCTTTTGTCAAGGCAAAACTCAAGGGCCACAGACAGGACAGACTTGAAAGAAGACTTTCAACTGAAACACATTTGCGTAATGTTGCAGAGGTGGACATACAGATGAAGAAAAGAATTCTGGATATGATGGAGACATCTGAGAGGCGAGCTTCTGAACATCACAGTAAATTATAAGTCACTCTTGAGAGACAAGTTCAGTTGCAGATGGATTTTTACTGCTAAGACAAGTCATGCATCCACCACCACAACCTTTCAACCTGCCACCACACCATGGTGGGCACATCTATGCATGTGCACCACCACCACACGCTGTACCTGGCTCATTTCCACCCAACAGTACCATAACTGAGCTGCCAAGCAGCACACCCTACCCACCCCTACCTTTGCAGGGAGCAGGGCAATTTTTCTTCACACAAGCACTTTTGGAGGATGATATTTGAAATAATCTGCATCGTTACCTATGCTGGGAAATTAATAACTTATGTTGGGAGCTTTTGGGGCTGCATCTGTATGCTCAACTGTTGGCATGTTAAATGTTTTCTATTAGCTATTATGCAGCTCAAATCCTTTGTTCAAAACAGCACTTTGACTTTGACTTAAGTGTAAGAGGTCTTCCTCCAAATAATCAGACCCAACCAATATAACCTCTTCAATAAAATTATCTTATCTTACATAAATAGGCTGTTGATTTTCTTTACTCATTTCAGTTATTACCAACAAAATAGTTGCATGTTTAATCATCTGGGAATTTACCCAGATTTATTTATTTAGACAGAGATAACCCCCCCCCCCCCCCCCCCAATGTTCAGCACAAAGTTACACCGATGCATCTTCAGGATCACAGTGCATAGATTGTGAAGTGTCACATATCCTGACTTACAATTTCTGTAGATATAACCGTTTATATCCCTCTCCAGGCAGGCGTTGCCGATTTGCAACAGTTAAAAAACGAACACCCTGATTACCCCACATACATATTTTATTAGTTTTTTTTACTCAGAAGTACCACTGCTGGACTTGGTTGTGCATTACCAACGAAAAGTTTAATTTGAGCCTGAGAGGGATATCAGTGATGTCATGCAATCTAGTCTGTGTGTCTGTCCTTTTCCTGCTGAATTACTTCAGTGACTGTAATCTATCATGTCCCCGCGGGGTCCTTCGCATATAGGTGTAACATAGAATCAGCCAATCAAATCGCAGCTTTTCAGCCAGTGTAAAAAATTATATATATTTTTTGCACTGAATCATCTGAGCGCAGGTGCCCAACCTGGCAAAGATGCCCAACGGATTTACTTTACCAAATGGGTCATCGCGGCCTTACCGTATTGGTCCATTTGATTGACCTTGGTCTTTATTGTTTATTTTATTTTCACTTGCTACACACGGGACAAACATGGTAAATCAACAACTGACAATGACTAATTAATATTAAAATCTGTAACATAATGTTTGGAGTTTAGTCTGTTACTGTTGCTATTTTTACCATTTCTTCTTGGAGCAACTGTAACCCACATTATTTCCTTAGGGATTAATAAAGTATTATGATTCTGATTGTTTCAGGATGACCTGCCATCATCCAATCACACATCTGCTTACCTGCATCTGTTGCTCGCTTCTCACTTTTCGCGTATAGAATTTCGAAAAAAACATCGGTGCAAATTATAAGTCTGTATCATGATGTCTGGTGTTTTCGTGTTTGTTGTTTTGTTTTTATTTTATTTTATTTTGCGAGTTGGTTATTAGACGCTGCCACAGCCACTCAGAGAATCCCCCGCCGCCCCGCCCTCTCCTCCCTGAGCCGCAAGCAGCAGGCGCACCTCGCAAACGGAGGGCGCCCTTACTCCCAGCAAATGGGTGATAGAAAACCGATCGGTGCCTGTGACATCCCCGCTATGCGCTGGCCAGCATGAGAACGAGCTTTTTTTTTTTTTGGCCGGTGCCCGTGATGCCGCCCTCACCACGATGCCGCCCCGGGCAACGGCCGTGTCGCCCGTATCAAAAACAGCTTCTGGTGGCATTTTTTTAACCTTTCGTTTTAAAAAATATCAAGAGCTAATAGAAATCAGATGAGTAAACAGCAGAGAGCAATCAGGAAATCAGGATGGAAAGTAAAACTTAGGACTGATACAAACATTAACACTGAAACATAAAGAACGATGAAGGAACAGCCTACAGGAACATATCAAACACGACCATAAGAAGACTCACAACACACATGAAGACAGAGATGAAATACTGACAGAAAAACTTAGGCAGACAGAACTGACTACAGTCCCGATCAAAAGTTTAAGATCACTTGAAAAATGGCAAAAAGAAAAATCATATTTTCCATGGATGGATCTTAACAACATGCAACAAGAAGAAATGGGAGTGAGACAAAACATTTATTGAGAACAACTCTTAAACTGAGACAGGCTGTTTCACAGCTGAGCAAAAGTTTAGGACCACGTGCCTTTAAAAGGCCAAATCTGTGCAAAAGTGTGGATTCGCTGTCATTTTCTGTCAGGTAGTCACACTGTGGTCAGGTTGTTGAAATGCATAAGCGGGGTGTCTCGCAGCACGCCATCACTGCTGAGGTGGGACGCAGTAAGACAGTCATTTGGCATTTCTTAAATGATCCTGGGGGTTATGGAACAAGTCAAGTGAAAGACCAAAAAAATTTTCACCAGCACTGAGCCAGAGGATCCAGTTGGCTGTTTATCAAGACACTGGATGATCCTCCACCTAAATTAAGGCCGTTACTGGTGCCGACTGAAGCCTTGTCGTCTTCAAAGGCCTCGTCTCCTTGAACTCCACAGAACTGACCGTTTGGACTTTGCAAGAGAGAAAGAAAGTTTTATTCTCTGATGAGAAAAAATGTAACCTTGATGGTCCTGATGGTTTCCAACGTTACTGGCATGACAAGTAGATGTTTTCTATGCTCCACAGTGGAGGGGGCGCCATAATGGTCTGGGGTGCTTTTTCCTTCAGTGGAACAATGGAGCTTAAGGAGTTGCAGGGGCGTCAAACAGCTGCTGGCTGTGTCCAGATGTTGCAGAGAGCATCTGTTATGACTGAGGCTCCTCATCTGTGTGGTAACGACTGGATTTTTTTTAACAGGACAACGCTACAGTGTTGGGAAGGTTACTTTTAAAATGTATTCCACTACAGATCACAGAATACATGGCCCAAAGTATATTTTATAACGTATTCCGTTAGTTACTCAATGAGAGTAACGTTTTCTGAATACTTTGGATTACTTGTATATTGTCATGCTTTTTACAACTACTTTTTTCTTAAATAAATCTACTACATCATGTGTACTTTTTATGTCATGTGTAATTTTCATTGCAAATAGTAATCACAGTTAAATTAAGAGGGGATAGAGCTGTGATGTCATCAAGTACACTGCCATTGCAATTGTAGAACGATCGTGCTGCGTTCTCGGGAAGCCTGGACTCCCGTGTGAACTTAGGACGTCCAGAGTAATGAGAATATCCTGTGGTATGAGGTCTGGTTAATAGCATTGTCCTGTTATAACTGCTTCAGACATCTATCACCCTCTTCCTGTAGCCACTTCCTGGGTCTTGTTTCAGGGCCTCATAAATAATTTTGTCACTGAGCAGTGACAAAATTTTCTTATCATAGTCTTTTTGGTTTAGCAAAACTGTGCACCTAGCCTTGTCCGCCAGAAGGATGAGAATGCTGTTGTAATGTAATGAAAACCTTTTTTTTCCTGATTTAATGAATAAAAAAAATATGCCAGCAAACTAGAGATAAAGATACTTGGGCAGGTTGTCATATTATAGAACTATAGAAAACAGACATGCAGGCTACCCAGGTGAACGCTGTGGCCGAATATAGTACTGAAGCAGTAGGAATGTTATATCTAAAAGCTCTGTGCTCATCTGAGCCTTACAGCTAACTGAACTAAATGTACAGTCGAGGCATGCAGTATGCTCACAACTTTTATGTATTCAGTATGTGGGTCGGAGTGAATGTGGACAGACAAAACATACTACTGAGTTTAATTTTGTCTGTACGTCGTATTTATGATTAAAAACAAATGTAATCAAATTAGATATTGATATTTTCATATGGGAATTGATCCTGCAACATGAAGTGCTGATATTGGATCAATACGTTATCGATACGGTCGCCACTGACAGAAAATGGCAGTAAACATGTTTTTAAAACTTTAAGCACTTATTTCTTAAATCCAGCTCCACACACGGTGTTACGTCTATGTCAGTTATGTGTAGCATTGCATGTCCCCTTTAACCCAAAGGAGATCCTTAAATATCCTAAAGTAATTGTTCCTAATGACAAAAACTGGCAGCTTCCCAAAAAATGCAGTAATACTGTTATATATTAATATTGTTTTGCACTTTAAATGAGTCAGTCTTTTAAAACTACTTCTGCCTAAGATATTCGTATCAAGTATAATTATATTTTGGGGGGTTTAACCCTTTGAAGGCCAGTATGTTTACATAGCTGCACTGTTTTTTAACTGGAAAACACCCAAAAAACTAAAATTTTTTCCATAAAATACATTTCAAGAAAGATTTCATTGCTATTATAATTAGGCCTTTAGATTGGCACCAAGGTAGATTTTGATTCATCATTATGTTTTTTTGCAGGGGCACAGTAAATGTAATAATCATAACCTATAATGGTATATGATGTTTTTCACTTTTTCCACACTAAATGTTTATTACCTTGCTAACGTAAATAAAAATACAAGCTCAGTTTGAACTAGAAAAACATTTATTTTAGAAAGATAAACATGAACATTTATGTTGTTGGGGATGGGGAGAGAGACAGTGTTGAAATCTCCCAATTCTTTGAATCTTTGGGCTGAAGGAAGGACAATACTCGGTGTATATATGCTCAATCAACAATCATTTATTTCCATACAATTCAACACAAAGAGCATTTAGAACCATCATGATGGGGAGACATGCCTGAAGAGGGTCACAGCAATCTCAAAATGCAAGCCCAAACATTAACATTCTTCCTCTCTTACAGCGCCTAAGTTATGACCTCGGCAGTTGTTTCTCTGCTCTCTGTAAGGTGGGGGTATGGAATGTGGTCTATCTCCCCTATCTTAGACACAGAGTCTCCTGCTTACAACCTTCTTTTTATGATTCAACAATTAAGCATGTCAAGAAAACAGTGTAATACATTCCCAGCAGATCAAGGATACAGAGTGATGCACATTTATCTAATAAACTAATAAGTGAATGTTCTTTTAACTCAAAAGTATAATGAGAACTAAACTACATACAGATCACACACTCTATATTAAAGGGTATAATGTGATCTACAGCAGTATTCTAATTCAACTACTTTGATTACATATATAAGGTAACACATAATAACAGAATAATCTGATAACAGACAGGGAGAGAGGTAGTATGTGTCTGGGTGTGAGAGTCCTGCTCAGTAGTGATGTGCGATACCACTGATTTCCTTTCCGATCTGATACCAACTAATATCAACGATACTGATCCGATACCGATACTTTGTACAAAAATTTATTTTATTTATTGTATCTTTTATTGTATCTCAAATTATAGCGTCATAATGATTACAGGACATCAGATACTTGTTCTTATCACTTAATAATGCAGAATTCATCATATAGAAATAAAAAATCTGAAGTTGTTATTTGAACTATTTGAGCACCTTGCCAGCCTGTAGCACTAAAGGACTCAGTGAGAGCACCTGTCCCTGTCCTCTTCA